TGTTACTTATGATGTAACCCTTCAGTATTGGCTGGTGCAGAATGATTTCAATACCAGTCACAGTAAAACTCAAGTCTCATTAATAGCCAAAATTTGAATCTCACTAACTTTTATCTTTTCTAAGTTTCATAACATGAACCAGAGTATTGAAATAAAGAAAGAGAATGGAAACAAAATGATTGAGAATTACAATGCACAGAGAAGAAAAGAACTATTAAAATTAAAACTATGTCAAAGCCAAAGTATCAGTATAAGTACATAGTAAAAGAAATATGTTTCGGCATTCACTGTCCAATATCCGCGACGGGTGGGCTATACCTTTCATAGCGCTTAGTTAAAAACATGTTACCACTGCTACAACACCCCTCTTCAGACACCTCTTAACACGTTTATCTTAGCATTCTGGTGTCACAGATGCTTTGCTTGCAGATGATTTGAATGTGGTATGGAGAGAAGATTATCTAAACTTCATTTCCACTGTGAGAAAAAAATGTGGGTTTTCTTTAATATGAGAGGATGTTCTCTATTTACTCATTAACTTATTTATTTATTTTTAGATAGAGAGTGTCACACTGTCTCCCAGGCTGGAGCGCAGTGGTGGCATCATAGCTCACTGCAGTCTCAATCTCCTGGGCTCAAGTGATCCCCCCACCTCAGCTTCCCAAGTAGCTGGGAGTAGAGGCGAAAGCCACCGTTCCTGGCTAAAATTTTTAAAAAGACTTTGTAGAGACAGGGTCTCACTATGTTGCTCCGACTGATCTGGAACTCCTGGCCTCAAGCAATCCTCCCACCTTGGCCTCACAAAGTGCTAGGATTATAGGCATAATCCTACTACACCCAGTTAAATGTTCTCTACAATAAAAATTACACATCTATGAGTTAAAAGCTGCTTTATTTTCTCTAATCTTATAGAGTTTCTGGTACCATAGATATGTCCAATGAGAGTTTTGAGTTTTGTTTCCCTAATTTCTAGGTCTAATGGTAATAAGACCTTCACTTTGAAGTGATGCAAGATGCAATGAATGTCCATGGGTAGTAATGACATCCAGAGACAAAGTTGTGTTGAACATGCCTTGGAGTCTGACCTCTGTGAGGTTGGACAGATGTCTAAAGCTCTGTGAGAACAATGCCTGCCAAAATTAGTTCAGTGCTTCAATGAGGCTCGTCTCAGAAAATGGCTCTGAAATAGATGTGGTGTGTCAGACTTTGAAACCATGCAATTAAGGTTTAACTGTGGTACCTTAAAATAATGTGCCAAGACCATATAATCAAGTATTTCTTTTTATGTATAGATTACACATATCCAATGATAAGTATATACAGTATTATAAAACAAGCAAAACTGAAAGTATCCTTTCAAAAAAAGTATACTTAAAGGCTCTTGGATGACTTCATGAATCAAAGACACAGTAACACATCTCTTCTTAAAAAAAAAAAGGATTTATTTTACATAGTTTGGACCTATATTCGTGCTTTTTACTTTCTCTTTAATTTCATCTAGCAAAATCAGGAGGAGCACAAACGGAAAGCAGGGACAAACATCTTTGGAGCAGAAGACTAGAGAAAAAGTAATAATGAAAGTCAGCCAGAGCCAGTGGAGTAAAAAATGTAGAAAGTGACTGAGATTTTGCAAACCAAAGCTGATCCACAGATACAAGCTTGAAAAGGATATATCTTCTCCAAATAGATTTTCCAACTTGAGTTTTTATTTTCCCACTCCAGACAGTAGTTCAGTTAAAATGGGAATAAAATAATAAAAAGCTTTTGTTTCTTTAACTTTTAGGAGGAGCTAATGTGCTATCTATTGAATGACCTCCCCGGTCAAGCCTAAGTCATAAGCATGTAGATTATCTTCAGCAGATGTGTTCTCCCAATGCCATCCCTTTCAACATCCACACGAGTTTACTGCCTCATAACCACCATTGTCTGACATTTGGTGGAAGCAGAGAAAAACATAAAAGGGCAAAACAGACAGTTGCTGTTAGCGGCAAGTGTACCAGATCTGGGAAACAGGGGTCCCTACCCTATTACACTGAAGCAGGCTTATATGGGCTTAGAGTTAGAACTGGTTTTGTTAGATTTTTAGGAATTTTGTGAGCCAGTTGTTAAGCCATTATTAAAAATTAAATTATGCCAACTTTAATTTAAAGAAATCCTACTAAAAAAGGTACTGAATAGTTAACACTTATTCTTTCCTAATTATTTGCTGTCTTTCACCTTATCAATGCCTTTGAGGTTATGCCTATTTTATGTGTATGATGGAAATGCTATATAAAGATACATTTGAAATTGACCAAGGTGAGAGTAGTTGCACCGAATAATTTGGCAAACTCTGCAAATCAGTGGTTACTTGCTGTTTTGTTGATTGCCTAGACTTTTTAAATAAAGGAGAAATATTTTAAATAGTGCATATTAAACCTAAAATGTGTCATGTCTATAGACATTAATTGTCAATAGCATGAAAGAAACTGAGGAAATAATTTTTAAGTATTTGAAAACTATTATCGGATTCAGCCAAGAATCTGTTCATGTAATTGAAGGAGATAAGTTCCAATATTTTCTTCCATGTTTCACTGTCCTCTTCCTTTTTAAAGCAAACAAAAATATTCACCAGCATTCATGTCAGAACTACAAAACTAAGAGTTTGTCAAACTCAGCAGATTCTGCCAGAATTAAATGGCTATATGGAATACACACTAAAGATTATTACATATTGTACTATTGGTATCATTTGTCAGTTGAGAGCTACGCATCTTTCACATAAAGATTATCTTGTATGATATTACAATGTAATATATACATTTGTTTTGTTTACAATCCAGTTGTTAAATACTTACCGTCACCCCAGTGTCTCTACCATACAAAAACTATTGATTGTGGAAAACCTGTTTACCTCTATGAATATCAACTTCCTCACCTACAAACAAACGAAATGAGTATCTACATCAGAGGATAGTTTTAAAAGTCAAAAGAAATGTTTATGTCAAAACCCTGTATGGATTGCAAATATTAGGTATTATCAGAAATTCAGCAAATACGTTTCAGCTTCTAATATGAGCTCTAATAACTTGCAAAGTGTGCAAACATAACTAATGCTATGGTCTCTGCCCTCAAGCTGCTTACAATCTAATAGTAAGAAATATGTGTAAATGACTTGAAATTACTTAAGAGAGTACCAAATGTTCTATATCAGAGGAAAAAGTGAAGTCCTATGAGATTATAGGAATATAAGGGATTTTACCTGGAGCACCAAGGAAGACTTCATTTTAAAAAAATGGAATTTTGAGATAAGCTTTGATATATAAGTTGCATATAAGTATCAACTGAGAATGTGCACTTGGAAAGGGGGCATACTTGGCTGGTGGATGAACACTCAAAAACATTATCATCACAAATATTTCAATGCCTGTTAAGAAAATCATAATTACATTGATAAATCTGCTACATAAAAACCTTACTTATTATTTCCATGTAAAATAGAAACTATGTATTATAGATTATGCAGTCCAGCAGGCCTATCCACAATCTTGCATTTAATCAAGGGTGGACTACATGTTTAGTCAGCTTTTCCAACTTATAAGCCATGTCCATTTCTAAAAACCAAAGTACAACTCAAGCTCCTGCCTTCTTAGTGAAAGAAAACATACATGTTGCTGTAAATTTTTAAAATTATTTTTCGAGAAAACTATAAAATGTGTTTGATTCAAGTATTTCACATGACAGGAGGCACTATCCAATAGAATTTAAAAGTGGTCGCTGGTTTCAAACCTAGGAATACGTAAATTACGCATGCATTACATGAACAATGAAGGGCATACCCAAAGTGCGGTTTTCACGAGAGACTGGCACACTGAAGCAAGAGAAAAGTGAAAACATTCTAAAACCTTCAAGTGAACAAGGACTGACTACTAAAAAGCAAGATTTTATCCCTCAGTTAATAAGTCTTGCAAGGGATGACATTACTAAGTAAAGTTCATTGCAAGCATTTTCCTCTCGCTTGTCAAAATATGCTAGTTATATATTTGTGACTTGAAAAAATACAATGCTTCGAAGAAAGCTTGGCAGAGTACTCAGAATCTGTCTTAAGTATAACGCAAGGGAAATGTCTATTAATCTTCAGACACAAAGTCTGATTCAAAAGTTCTGTGGCCTTGACCTCAAGTCACCATGGAATAGATCACAGAGCCAGTCCAGGATCCAAAGGGATTAAGAGGGGCATTTGCTCTGCTCTGAAAGGCCCTTTTTTTCTCCACTCTGGTTTCTAACTTCCCATTACACAACTCCCTCTGCAAGGCACAGCGCCAGTGGAGCCCGTTCACTCTGTTCTCTCCTTGATGACAGCTGTCAGTCTGTCACCGTCTGAACATGCAACATTTCGACAAAATCCAAAGCGGAATTGAAAGGGCAGGGGCTGAAGCACACAGCCTGACCTCCTTCCTGGAGGTCCCAGACTCCTTTACCATCACCTTTCAACCTGCTGAAGGTAAGAACCACCTCACTCTTCACTGACAGAATTGAGGCAGCTTCTGTCGCCTCAGAACCTGGGCATTCCCACGCATCGTGTAATTAAGCAACATTCCTGGAAATCATCCTAAGAAGAAGGAGCCCGCAAGTCCCCTCGTAACTTCAGCACGAACGCGAAGCGTGCTAAAGCCAGGTGTCAGATCAAGGGGCGGGGAAATCGCTCACTCCCCTTGCTCCTGGACAGCAACCCCTGGACCGCGTGGCAACGCCCGGCGGGAGCGCGGCAAACCCCAGCGCGCGGGACCAGGAGTGAGACCGCGCCCTCCCGCAGGGCAGGGGCGACCCGGCGAGTGTCGGCGGCTGGAGGGCAGTGCAAGCCCAGCCCGGCGGAGGGTAGCGCAGTGCAAGCCCAGCGGGCGGGGAGCCCTGCTCACTCAATAGCCCCCGGCCGGGAGCTGCGGAACCGCAAAGGAAGCGGGAGAGGCCGGTTCTGAAGCAGGGACCTGTCCTGGGGCAGGGGCGCGCGAGACACTCACCAACTGCAGCGCGCAGAGGCAGATGAGCGAGCAGCGCCCGGTGCAGCAGCCCATGGTGCCGGCGGCGTCCAAGAGGCTCTGAGGGCCAGGGATCCGCGTCCTCCGCCGCTGCTGCCTCCTGACTCCGGAGTAGTCCTAGCCTGGCCCGGCCCAGGCTCCCCGGCCCCGCAGCCGCCGCTCTCGGCTCCTGGGCTCCGGGCTAGAGCCCGCCTTTGTTAGTTTCCCAGCGGGGCGGGCGGAGGTCGGTGCGGCGCGCACGGCCAGAGCGTTTGGCGGGGGTCCCTGCGTCCCACTGTGCAGGTCTGCTTCTTGGGGAGGGGGAGCCGGGCGGGCGGGCGGGGCGGGGGGCGGAAGGAGGCTACAGATGGTGAGTGGGTGAATGTCTGCTTAGGGGAGGGGAGTATGTAGGAGGTGGGCGTCTGGAAAGTGGAGTGGGCTGTCTGGGTCCGGGTGTGTGTGTGTGTGTGTGTGTGTGTGTGTGTGGTGGGAGGGGAAGAATGAAAGGGAGTGCCGCTGGGGAGGATCGGCCTGTCTAGTTAGGAGTCTTAGGGGAGACAGGAAGAGGGACAGAGAGAAAAGAGAATGAATATGAATGAGCGTGAATTAGGGCGGCCGGCTGCGATGGAGACCCTCGTTGACCGGTGTAACTGGCTAGACCCAGCTGGGCTTTCTCGCTGAGGGTTGTGCTGGGGGTTGGGAGGGTGGTCGTTGCGTTTGCAAGGGAGGGGACACGGCTTAGCTGAGAGCTGTCCCAGGGGTGGCGAGGATGAGAGGTGGGATGGCTTGGGGTTGGGGGAGGAAGGGCCGGACGCGAGACGCCGAGGGTGGGCGGGCGCGGCAGAGCGCGAGACTAAGCTCCGGAACCTGCCGGGCTGCGAGGGGGCCGGCGGGCGCTGCGCGGGCGAGTGTGATCAGCTGGCGCTGGGCGAGCAGCTCGGGGGTCTCCGAGCCGAGGTCCCTTCTGGCCGCCGCAGCCGGTTGCCTGGAGGGCGCCCCTGCCGGAGTCTAAAAGGGAAAGTTGGACAGAGTTGGTTGGCAAGGGGCGCTGCGGCGGAGAGATGAACCGGCCCAGGGCGCGGGGACTAGCCAGGACACCGCGGGGAGACCTGGCTTAGGGTTCTCAACTCACAGACCCTTTGACATCCTCACCAGGAGGGAGAAAAGAGAAGTCGAGGAAGATGAGTAGCTGTTTCTAGAAACGGAAAAGGATTCCGGAATAGATATAAATATATCTTCACAGAAATGAATTGTTTGAGAAGGATTTGGAAATCAGATCTCGGATAGTTAAGATACGGACAAACTCTCTGAATCCTGTGGAAACTCTCTTACTCTCTCCCACTTAATAGAACAGGGCGGAGGTGATCTGCAGAGGATTAAATTTCATCAGGGCTCAAAGTGAGATTTCATGGGCGCATTTGTTGTACCGGGTGGAACTGTGCAAGGAGCTCAAAAGCACACCTGCACAGGGAACAAGCCCGCAGGCCAATTATCTCGGAAAACGCTGTCTTCAGAATTTGGCACAGAAACCCTATTTCTAGCCCACTGCTGCCCTCCTGGGTTCTTAGCGGTAGGTTGGTAAGAAAAGGCAAGACATCTTTGCGTGTTTAATACTTTCACTCCAGACATGGAAACTGCTCAAGCCATTAGTTCAGACATTAAAAGCTGTCCTGTTTTTATTTTTAACCCGCTTTCTGAAAAGTTTCTTCAGGATCTATGTTTATAATTTAAAAGGGACACATGAATAACCTCAGGATTGGGTTAATAAAAGGGTCAAGAACATTCATTGTTTACATTCCACGTCTGTCTATTATCATGGAGAAGGGAGAAATCAAGTCAGAACTGCCCCTCCTTTTTTAACCCAAACTTTAAAACATCAATGATCAAGAATCTCATGAGCATGCTGCCTCTGTGTACAATCCACATACTGGTCATCATTCTTGATGGATGAAAACGATAGGAAAAAATGAACACTGACATATAAGTAGTTTAGCATATATAAAAAGACACTGCAGAACATCTCTGGCCACTGACCCCTCTGAAAGCTGTAGGAAGCAGCTGAAAAGTGAGAGGACATGAACAAGTCCTCTATCTATAACTCCAGAAATTGTTGTAACCTCTTCATCTCCAGAGACTGTGATGAATGATGGTAATAAAAATATTGACACTTCCTTCTCTCCAAATTACCCCAGTATAATTTGTCATGCTTTTATTTATTTAGGAAGCACCATATTAGCAGCTAACCTGCACTGGGTCCTTGTCAGGTGCCATACATCCATTTAAATACTTTATGTGTGTTCATTTAATCATCACTGCAACCTCATGGGGTGGGTGCTGTGAACATCACCATTGAAAAGATAAGGAAACAGGAGCAGGGGCTCCCCTGGCTGTTAAACACAGGAATAGGAAAGCAAAGCCAGGAAATCTACCTCTAGAGCTCCTGGATTTACATATTCCCTATGTTGCCTCTGAAACCTGGGACACAAATAGCACTTATTCACAGGGAAGCCAACTGTTCCTTCAGAAGTAGGTGTAATAATGTACATTGATCTAACATTCAGAGTTAGTACCACCCATGTTTGATTTTAGGAGACCAGGAGGGTCTCTTGCACCTCTCCTTTTCCCATTGCCCCCTTTAATGATAGACTTAAATTAGAGTTTCTTCCTTGCATGATTTAAGACAGTCAAAAATGCATTTGTACTAAATGCATTTAAACAAGAAGCAAAGATAACACAATGCTAATAAGAAGTCTAGAAATTGTGTGAAGCTACCTTTATTTCTCTCTGCAATCTCTTATTCTCATTTTCTAAATTGTGTTACATCCTAAAAAAATCTTTCCCCCTTTTTTTCTTTCTTCATCCATCCTTCCCTCAAATAGTTTTTACAAGTTTATTTCTTAATTGCTTCTATGCGAAGGGCTGTGCTAGTTGCCTGGTCTGCAAAGGTAAATGATAATACTCCCTCTCTTCCCCTCAAGGGCTTACAGGTGGGAAGGGAGAGCAGCTGCAGGAATAAAGTAGCACTCCCTCTGATAGAGGTTGGTGCCAACTGCTGTCATTAAGTTTTCTTCCTGTTAGAGAAGATTTAAAAGAGGTATTACCAGTCTCTTGGGAAGAGGAAATGAGACTAGAAAATGACAGAGCAATGGAAAGGATGGGGCCTGGACAGAAGTTTGGTAAAACCAATTGGAGAGGAAATAATCTAAGTAGAACAACCTGTCAGATATATGGCTGTAAATGCTGCTGCTTGGCCACAGAATATCAGAGAGGTCATTTTGCTCCCCTGTGAGCCCCATTTTCCCCATACATAAAGTTGTGATAAAATGACTTGCCCCAGGGGGGCATTTGCCTTAGCATTTGCGGCTTGTCCTGTCTCTGTGGAGCTTACAGCCTCGGCTCATGCAGGTCTCAGCCTCATGTCACATCCCATGGAGGCTCTTACTGAACAGGCCCTCTAAAATAATACTCTTTTTCTTCAAACTGATTGTTTACTTACTGTATTGTTTCCTGTTTCCCCGACTCAAAGTTGTTTTCCCAGTGCTTATAACAGTAGTTAAATTCAATATTTGTTGCATGAAGAACAATAATGTGTATAGATTTTTAGCATAATAATTCACACATCATGTTGAACATATATGTATATGTGCACATACATAATATGTAGTAAACATATGTACACACACACACACACACCCCTTAATGCCATTTGAGTCTGTGTGTTTCTTATGTTTTGTTTTGTCTTATGTCTATCTCTTCTATGTGTTTACTTCTTGGTGAAATCCTTTTGAGAAACTTCAGTCCCTATCTCCCTTGAGGGAGGAGTGAGTTGTCCAGACTAAAAGATAACTGGGGTGAGACAGCACCTCTAGAGGCCAGATCTAGAAATGCATGTTTCCAGATTCCCAACTTTTTGGGGTTCACTTTCAAATACTGGATATGAGACACCAGCTTTAAGTTTCTCCTTAAATTAAGATTCTTTTGAATTAAAGTTATCCTCAATTATTGCACTGTTTTGTTTGTTTAATGTTTTTGTAAGTCTCTCAATTCTGCATATTTATTGAGTTGAATAGATTATAGCATGATTAAACATTCTTCCTCCATTGTGAAAAGTTCTTCAATGTATTAGTAAATATATGTATTTCCTCTGATGTCTGCTTAATGGTGAGCACCTCCTTGGAGCCTTCATGGAGCAAGTAAATTCCCTATACCTTCTCCTACAACTGGCTTCACTTCATGATTATCTGACAGACATTGCAAAGCAGTAAGCCAGCTCAGATGGAGCAAAAAGTTTTACACCAGAGCAAAATGTGGACACACATGTATGGGGAGTTTGAAGCATGGCTGCAAAAGGCCAAAGCACATTAGTGTGCTGTTGCGTGGCTGTTGAGACCATCCTTCTAGTTAGAATTGGTTCACTTATTATGCATAGCAAAGGGTGTATGAATGTTGGGTGCATAAAATGGGAAAATGCTAACAGTTATATTTTTTATATTTTCTTACTCCCTATAAAGATAGGTTTTTCTTGATATTTTAAGCACTTTACATCTAAACATTTAAAAAACGCCCCCCAGATGGCTGTTTTATTGGGAGATAAGAAAGAAATTAGAAGTGGACATATGGTGTGGGGGTGTTTCTAAGGTCACTAGAAAACCTGTAGAGTGGGAGAAACCAAAGGAGAAAGGATAAGAAAAGTTCTTTGGTATATTTTGATTGAATAAATGTTACTTATAATTAGTTCTGCAATTGGAAAGATAGAACCAAGCACCATTTTTTTCCATTTCTGATTTCGTTAATAATAAGCATCGATTAAGATTAACTCCATCAATGGCCTAACAACTCTGATCTAGTTTTTCTTCTTTCCTTCTTTCTTTCTTTCTTTCTTTCTTTCTTTCTTTCTTTCTTTCTTTCTTTCTTTCTTCCTTTCTTTCTTCTTTTTTTTTTGAGATTGAGTTTCATCCTTGCTGTCCAGGCTGGAGTGCAGTGGCGCGATCTCAGCTCAATGCAAGCTCTGCTCTCCCGGGTCAAGTGATTCTCCTGCCTTAGCCTCCCGAGTAGCTGGGATTATCCACCACCATTCCCAGCTAGTTTTTGTGTTTTTATTAGAGACGAGGTTTCACCTTGTTGGCTAGGCTGGTCTTGAACTCCTGACCTAAGGTGATCTGCCTGCCTTGGCCTCCCAAAGTGCTGGGATTACAGATGTAAACCACTGCGCCTGGCCCATTTAGCACTTTTCTAATGTCATGCACTGAGCAGCCCCAACCAACACTGGCAAGTTCAAGCATTTCTCATCACTTAATTTATTGCTGAGTATTGGCAACCATTGGGGATTTCTGTGCAACAAACGTGCATACTGTAGCTTGGGAGCTGCATGTCAGAGTCCTCATATCAGGGATACAAACAATTCCTTACAATCATTAAAAGCTCAGCTGCCCTCTGCTTTCAAGATTTCAAGACATCAGATCAAAGGAGTCCTCATAAGCTAGACCCCCAACAATTGGCAATAACAAAGGAGCAGCAAGAGTAACACAATTGAAATCAAAAGAAAACACAAATACAGTCTCTGCAAATCCTGATGCCACCCTGAACGTTTTGGGACGCATGCATGTATGTATTTATTAGATAACATTAAGTGCTCCAAATTACAGAGAAGGCTGCCCCCACCACCCCTTGTTTTTAAATGAAAAAGGCATTGCCGTAACATATGCAAAGAGATTATTACTATTAGATAATGAACTTTTGGAGTAGATTTTCTCATACCTATCTGGCTCAAGAATCAACCCTATGTTATTGCATTATGTTTCTGTAAAGGTTTCCATTAAGAAAGGTGAGCGAGAGGTAATGGGATCTCTGTTTCTTACTTTTGCAACCTTTTTGTACATCTAGAATTATTTCCAGTTAAAAATAAGAAACAGTCCTATACAAATGTTAGATGCATATATGGCAAGCATATGAAATACTGAACAGACTGCCCAAAGGAAACATAAAACCTAACACAAAATATGTTAACTCTGGCTAATATGGAATGAGCTATTTTTCAGTAATATGAGTGATAGATTTTTCTTATTTGTTCATGATACATTTATATATATATATAAATGTTATAATCTATTCAACTCAACTATATATATATAAATGTATCAAATCACCAGATACTTACATCGAGATACATAAATATACAATTTGTATGTTTTTAATCACTAAGACAAGCTTATATCTCAAAATGGACATGACTCTGCTTTTTCCCATGCATTTTTATTCAAGAAATTGAGAGGATTTTTAAAGAGTCATTAAAGGTAGTAAAATCAAATCATTTCCCTCTGTGTCCTTAA